TAGGTTTTGGGGTTTAGGGTGTGGGGTTCGGGGTTTGGGGTTTAGGGTTTAGGGTTTAGGGTGTGGGGTGTGGTGTTTATGGGGCTTTCTGGGACTGGGGCTAAGGCTTTAGAGACTGGCTTGTTGAAGATTTTTACACCTCGATGCCATGAGAAGGAGCCCTGGGGGGGTAATATGGGGGCCTTAGAATGGGCATTGGGTTTCCTTTGTTCTGTAACTATAATAAGGAGGGTTTAGGGTTTAGGGTTTAGACTAAGGAAAATATAGGTAATTACTAAGGCTTCTGTATTAAACCGTAACTGTTCCTGTCGACACGGCGACGAAGGTTTATGTAGCGGCCTCACAATTCTGGTAGTGTTTTGGGGTCCATGATGGTGCAAGTATATAGGGGCTATAAGACGAAGCTACTACCAACTATTCCGACCCCTAGAAAAAAAAAACCTTGTTTGGGTTCAGGGCTCAGGACGTAGGGTTTGGGGTTCAGTCAGAGCCCCTGTATCGATCCTCCCTCGTCGCACTCGATTCTCGAAAGTTTGGCGGTTCGACAGGCATGGAACATGCTTCCTTGCCAATCTTGTGCCTCAGGAATGTCTAGATTGACCGATGGACATTCTTCCCTAAACCCCTAAACCCTAAACCGTTTGATAAGGTTGACCCTATCAGGGGAATGTTGCGATCCTCCCAGCATTTGGACATGGCCCTCCAATGCGGATGTGCAAAATAACCTCGCTTTACCGGCATCATCCTCAGATCACCTCCGCTGACACGCCTTCCGATGTCGATGCGCACATCTTTGTTCTCGCAGCTGCTGGCAAGCCTCGTTGGTGGAAGTATGGGTCAAAGCCTGTACTGCTTGGTGTCCCGAACAAACACATCGCTCTGATTGCAGAAAAGGCACCCTAAACCCTTAACCCTAAACCCTAAACCCTTAACCCTAAACCCTAAACCCTTAACCCTAAGCCCTAAACCCGAAACCCTAAAGCCTAAACCCTTACTGGTAGCAGACAGTTGGAAGAGTGAAATCGCCGTCACGGTCTCTCTCGTCGGCCTACAGCCTGATCTCGTTGTAAGTAGCTGGCAGCACGGTTTAGGGTATAGGGTTTAGGGTTTAGGGTTTAGGGTTTCGGGGTTCTGCAACTGGGGGGTCTGGCGTCAGCCCCCTTCCTTATTCATCTAACTACTGGATTTTCGTACATAGTTTTAACACACACACGCACACACATATATATATATATATCTATCGGAACATGTATTGGTTAGCAGATTCGCATCGGTAGACGATGCAACCCTAAACCCCCCTAAACACCCAAAGCTCAACCTAAAACCTTGTAAACCTGAACCTTGAAAGCGATAGCTGCCAATCCGAGAATCCTGAAACCCCACCCTTAACCCTAAACCCTAAACCCCAAGCCCTAAAAACCTTAAAAGAGACACTACAAGATCCTATAAACTTAACACCCAAAAGAACCAAATCCCTGAACCCTCACCCCCACTCCCCAAAAACAAGAACTCTCGAGAAGCCCTAGTATAATATGCCCCCAACCCTACTCTAGTCATCAAGGCACCTCTGCTAAAACCCTTATAACACCCCTATAATCGTAAACCTTATGAGGCCCCTTATAGTAAGCCTTAGTAACCCTTATAATACCCCGAATAGTAGTAAACCCAAACCCCAAACCCAGAGACTCCAACACCCCTTAATTAAGGAATATAGCTGAAATCTTACTAGGGATCCTACTATACCTTGAGGTATATTCCTTACTTAAGGGGTATTGGAGTCTCTAGGAACCCTTAACCCTAAACCCTAAACCCTAAACCCTAAACCCTAAACCCTAAACCCTAAACCCTAAACCCTAAACCCTTATAGTGGCCCTTTTTTGGGGGAACCCCTAGAGCTCCCAAGGCTGCGGCCGAGTCCTGTGGCTCGAACCTCGAGGTGAGAATGGCTTCCGTAGAAAACTAGGGAGGGTTTAGGGTTTAGGGTTTAGGGTTGAGGGTTTAATTAGTGGCTATGGGTGCTACCATACGAGGGGTACGATACCGTGACTTTGGGTGTTACCATAAAAGGCTAATATGGGGTGTTCTGATAAGCACTCTACTGAAGTTCGGGCTGAAGGCGGTTCCATACGCTCTAAGCGTCAACCCGGTTTAGGGTTTAGGGCTCCGGCAGCGTTCAGGGTTTAGCTAGGGTTTAGCATGGTGCTTGTGACAGAACATTGCACAAAACAATGGTGTAGACTCTCGGGGTGGTGCTTCGGGTTTGACTAGGCTGGTTGGCAAAATGGTGCAAGAGCCTTGCTTGGCATTGTAAAGGAACCCACAGACCCCAAAACACTAAACCTTAGTATTGCTCTGCAGCGCCTCCCGATCTCTGACATACAGGCTGTGGGATGTGGGCTCAGGAGTAAATAAAACTACCCCATTACCCTATACTACATTCAACCCCGAAAAACAGCCGCACAAACGTGCTCTCAGAGGGCTCAAGGTTTTGCTTCCGAGGCCACAAATACGAACACCCGAGCCTCACTTCCCCAATAGCACTCTTAGCTCTCAACTCAATAGGACATATTTCCCACAAGCACGAGGAAATCTGAAGGCGTCGTTTAGGTTTAGCTTTCCGCGTACTACCAAAGTACATGAACCCAACACTTCAAAGCTTGGGTATTGCAGAGCTAAGCCATCGACCGGAAAACCTCTATGGCTTAAACCCTAAACCCTAAACGTTGCAAGGTTTGGGGGGTTTGAAGGCAAAGATTTGGGAGTTTCCGAAAGTAGGGGACCCTAATATAGTACCCTAAATAATACAATCCTTATTATAAGGCCCCAAAACAAGGTACCCTAATTTTTGGAAACTCCNNGCCCAAAAAACCCTAGAATTTGAAACCCTAAACCCCGAAACGCCTAATAGCCCTAAACTCCCAAACCCGTAAAGCCAGAAGCCTGAAATCCCAGCGGCCTTTGCGACTCTGAGCCACCCGACAACCCCCGAACAATCACAAAGGGTTTAGGGTTTAGGGTTTAGGGTTTAGGGTTTAGGGTTTAGGGTTTAGGGTTAAGGGTTTAGGAAGTTTTGAAAGCCTACGGCATGCCTAGAGCCATCGGCACTAGACCCTCAGGCCTACACCCATAAACCTCCGGAAGCCATCAACCCCCAAACCCCTGAAAGCCCCAAAGAATCCTAAAAGTTGAAACCCTAAACCCCTAACCCCTAAAAGCCCAAAACTTACAAACCCTGAACCCCTAAAAGCCTAAAAGCCCAAAAACTTACAAACCCTAAACCTCTAAACCCCTGAAAGCCCAAAAAACCCTAGAATTTGAAACGCTAAACCCCGAAACGCCTAATAGCCCTAAACTCCGAAACCCGTAAAGCCAGAAACCTGAAATCCCAGCGGCCTTTGCGAC